TCCCTCCGTCTGCTACGCCCCCTCCCAGCCCTGCCCCCGCCCCCCCCGGGCCCGCCTCCTAGCTCCCCCTGCCCCACCTCCCACCTCCCCACCCCCCATCCTGCCCTCCAGGCCACAGCCCAGATCCCAGGCAAAACACATCCAAGGCCTCATGACCCCCAGCCTCTCCCCACTTAATTCAGAAAAACCCAGATCCTCACGGTGCCCCCGAGGCCCCTCTCCCTCTGGCTCCCTGTTGCCGCCTCCGGGACCTCATTTCTTGTCACACGCCCCTCACTCACACCCTCTGCTCCAGCCTCTGAGGTCTCCCCACTGTTCCTTAGACCCCGCGTGTGACTGCCTCGGGGCCTCTCACTCCCTGCTCCCGCTCTCCCCGATACCCTCACTTCCTGCCGGGGTCTCCGACCACCTTCTCTAAAACGGTGGTCCTACTTCTACCCTGCCACTCCCCCTCCCAGGGCCACTGCCTGACAACTGTTATCTGTGCCCCGTAGACCGGAAGCCCCCAGGGAGCCGGGGTGTCTGTCTGTCTCCCCCAAGGAGCCAGGGTGTCTGTCTGTCTGACTTGGGGTTCCCCCAAGGGGCATATCTGTCTGTCTCCCCCAGGGAGGGGGTGTCTGTCCATCTCCCCGGGGCACCTGTCAGCTTCTTACCCAGGCCAGCCGGCTGGAGATGCTCAGGCAGCCCTGACATCTCCCTCCCGGACCTCAGCCCCGAGGCTTCTCTCTGGGCAAGTCCTCTCCAGGGAGGAGGGAGGTGGCCCAAGCAACTGAGGGACAGGCTGTCCGACCCCCCTGCCTGGCATAGTCCACCGGCTCTGATTGGCCGGTCTTGGATCACATGCTCACCCGTGAGCCAATCGCCTCGGCCACAGGGGCACATGGGGCTCTGACCGGGTGGGGCTCCCACACCCTCCCTGGGGCTGGGACAGAACCTGAGCCCCCCTTGCCCGGAGGAAAACCCGAAGGGTCCGAAGGAAGGGCAGACCAACCAGCAGCAGGGCCAGCAAATAGTCCGGATGGTGGGGACACGGGCAGCCACTGTTACCCAGCGACCGCTGCGGTCCAGGGTCTGACGCCTGGCGGATGTGGCACCATGAAGGGGGACACAGGCCAAGGAGGGGATCGGGGCACCCGCTGCTGAGAAGCCTCCTGTCTGTGGTGCCCCCAGCAGCATGGGGGTGGCACCAGATACCAGGGGGCACCCCAGTGAGGCAGGATCAAGCCTCTGAAGTCCCTGACACCCTGCTAAGCTGGGCCAGCCTCTGGGACCAGCAAGTGGGGGGTGGGCATGGCACCCCTTCCCCAGCAGGGCTGCAAAGACACCACCGCCCTCCCTGTGGGTCCCTTTCCTTTGTATCTCTGACAAACAAAGCCTCTTTCTTTAGAGACTTAACTGCTTTGGTCAGTTCTCGGCTGGGTTCTCCTCCGGGACCCGTCTTGCCCCATGAAGGACTTCTCATCCCTTTAGTTTCTCCATCATGGACCAACTCTCTTATTCTCATGGGGCATCTGATTTCTCTTTATTTCAAAGACACTCTCTTGGACCACTTCTGAGTACAGCCAACATATTTTCCTTTTTGCCCTGGCTGCCAGGAAGCTCATATGTAAAGTTAACATTTGGAACCTCCCTATAGTACTTGGTGCTTCCTTTTTGTTTCTCACCTCCTTCCAATTAGTTGTCTTTTAAACGTAAAGGTTTCAAGGTAAAGCTCTTTATTTAAAACACTGTTCACAGTCCTGGTTTTTGGCAGTTGACAAGGAGCAAACGAGCAATTCATAACGATATGCTCTTCGGTCCCGGATCTGAGATCGAAGACCTCATCCTAACCTCCCCTGTGAGCACTCGGCCCTGGACGAGTGGTCAACACTCCGGGCCTCGGTCAAGGCAAAGGTGAAGGGTTCGATGGCATGACCCCAGCCCCAGCATCTTCTTGTCCGTTTGCCCGGCGGGCAGGGGCCCTGGGATCTGCAGGGAGATGTGACTTCCCAGGGATTGAGCAGGGAGGGGCCGACAGAAGGCACAGGACTCGGTCCCGCCTGTCCTCTCCTTACCACCACAGGGCCCCCACAGCCCTGCCCAGACCCACCTCCATTCCTGGCCAAGCCCGGCCCCTGGCCCCTGGCCCCTGGCCCCTGGCCCGGCGGTGCCCCTGCCTCCCGCTCCATGCTCCCTGCGGCTCTTGGAGGAGAAGAGAGGCAGAAGGGCTACCTTGTCAGCACTTGCTGGGGGACCACTGTGTGCCCCACTGTCAGCACTTAAATATCGACGGGTGCTTGCTGTGTCCCAGACCACGCTCATCACCAGAGGCGGGACCCTCTGCTAGGGAGCTCACAGCCCCATGGAAACGCACGTGGGGGTCAGGTGACAGCCCGGTGACAGTTGGGTGCTTGACACACTGTGCAGAGTGCCCTGAGAGTCATCACCTCCACAGAGGATGACCACCTATCGTGTAGTCCCTGAGGACCCAGAACCTGGGCTGAGACCTCACTGATGGTTGAGGTCCCTGGGTGGGGGCTGGGAGGGCACAGAGCCTTGGGGGCAGGGGACAAGCGGGGCGGGAACAGGAAGGGGGCCTTGAAAGCAGCCTCCACACCGACCGGTGGGGAGCCACGGAGGGCTCTATGCAGAGGGAGTGGCAGGGTCCAACTGGCACTGGGGATGGGTGGTCAGAGTGGGCAATGTCCAGGTGAGGGAGACCCAGCGCTGCCCTCCTGCAGCTAACATGTGACCAGGGGACTCCCGAGAGGGCGTCTGGACTCCAGGTGGGAAAGAGGAGGCCGGGCCTCATTTCCGCGTCGTGTTACTGGGAACAGCAGCAGTCGGGGCCTGAGGCATCGTCAGGTCAGACACACGAATCCAGCCCAGTGTCCAGGGCAGGCTTCACCCCTGCACCCTCCCTGCTGACCTCGGCCCATCTGCACGCACGGCCAAGGCGGCAGAGGCCGGCGACACAGGCCACCTCGAGAAAACAACCGCCGTGGCGGGAACGTACAGGGGTGCAGCCGCTCAGAAAACTGTGGCGCTTCCTGAAAACACGGAATCAAACAGGGTCCCCGTGGGCTCCAGCAGGCCTGCTTCCGGGGTTTGGGTTGGGGCCCCTGGAAATTCCATCCCGGGACACTCGGTTTGGCAAATCTGCTCGGAATCGTGCTTGGTCCTCGCTGATAGCCTCATTCCGGGAGCCGGCTCACACATCCAGGCCGATGCGACCTGTCGCGTGGGGCCAGGACGGACGTGACGAGGCGCAGGGTGGTGGGGTAGGGGGAGCCGGGCCTGCCCTCCCGGGCCCGCGCCCTGTGTCCTGCCTGCAGTGCCTGGACAGCCCTAGGCCCGTGACCGAGCTGTCACAGTGCAGCTGTGGAGCCAGGGGCCTCGCTGCTCTTCTCCTCTGCTGCCCCCGGCCAGGCGTGTGACGGGGACAGACAGGGCACTGGATCTCGAGCTCGCCATCCCGCCCTGCCGTGTGTCCGGCAAACTTTCTTGAGTTCCCGTGCGCATGCGGCCAGCGGAACCTGGCTTCTCTGCATCCTCTGAAGGCAGAGGGGTGTCAGGAGTGCCGAACGGACACTTGTCTGGGCTTCCGTGACGCCACACCCCCCAGCTCTCCTCCTCCCTCCCTGCAGCGCCCTCTTTGTATTCTTGGCCCCACATTCAAAGGGCACCATCCCTTCAAGGCTCAGCCAGGACCCTCTGTACCTGTGACTTGGGAGACCACCGATCTCCGAAGCACCCTCCAGCCCTGCCCCGCCGAGCTGCAGCCTTGGAGAGCCAGCCACGGACGCGATGCGTGTCCTCTGAGGCTCTGCAAGCACACCTCACCCTGCTGTGCACCAAACCCATCTCAGACCCTCCCTCCTAGAGGGGGCACCCTCCGGGCCCTGGCCCCGGCAACTGACCATAGAGCACAGGCCCGGGCCCGAGTGTCCTCACGCTGCCCCCTCCCCCAGCACAGCTCACCCCCAGGGAGGCCTCCAGGCCACTGGGGCCCTGAGCCCAGACGGGAGCCGGAATGTCCCTTTCCATCCAGGGCGGCCGGGCACCCTTGCCGGGGGCAGGGCTGGCTCGGTGACCCCCTCTGCTCCCCGGCAGGACGTCGCTGGAGGCCCTGAAGGGTCTGCTGTCCACCACGGGGCACTGGCAGGACTTCGCCCACCTGGAGCTGCGGGGCGCCTGGGAGCTCTTTGCCACCACCCGCACCTACCCGCAGGGCGTGGGTCTCCTCGCCAGGTACGAGCGGGGCCAGGGCAGGGGCCAGGGCCTGAGCCGGGCCACTGCTTGTCCAGGAAGCTGGGTGTATCGACCACAGTGACGCCTCGGGTCCGCCTGTGAGCACGGCCCCACGAACTCACACGTGCGCGCGCTCGGCCCTCTGGCACTGAAGTCGGTGCCCCGGTGCCTGGCCACGTGCATGCCCACCGGGGGCCTGTGGACACGGGTGTCTTCTCCCAGCCCCACCCCTGCGGAGGCCGCCTAGGGGCCCGCTCCTCGTGTCCCATAGGCCCAGTCCGGGCCTGGAACCCAGTGCGCGGCCAGCGGGTACAGAGGGACATAAGGGAATGGGGGCCCACCCACCCGCAGGGACAGCTCTGGCCGCTCAGCCCCAGCTGGGTCAGGTGATGGTGGGAGGGTGGACGCCAGGTCGAGCCTGCCACGCTGCCCTCCCCCTGCCCTCCCCCTGCCCTCCTCCCTTCGCCCCAGGGCCATGGTTCAGAACCGCTGTGGGCAGATCAAGGCAGTGACCAGCCAGCTGCTGTCCAGCCTGCAGAGCGAGGAGAAACGGGAGCGGAAGACGGCCATCCTCATCCTCGTTGAGGTAGCGGCCTGGGCAGGGGGAGGGGGAGCCCCTCAGACCCAGCCCCCTCCTCCAGCCACCTCGGTGCCCCATCAGGGCCTTTCGTGGGCGGAGGCCCCGCCAGATGGACCCCTCACACCCGCTCCTTCCCTCTCCCGTCCCCAGGGCGGTCCACGGTCTGGGGCTGGGTCCCCCACTTAGCAGCTCCCCCGTCAGTGGCCCGGGCAAACCCATCGCTCCACCTGTCCCACCCTGCCCCCACCCCTACAGAGCTGGTCGGTCAGGCAGAGCGGGGCTCAGGTCGCCCTGAGCCAAGAGGGCACAGGTTAGAGCAAGACAGGAGCTGGGCGTGGCAGACTTTGCAACTGAGGCAGGGGCCACGGCAGGGCTTGGGCGGGGGGTAGGGGGGTTGCCGTGTGGCATGTCCCTAACTGACCTCAGTGGGGAGAAACCCAAGTCAAAGCCTGGTGCCACTCACCACCCCACCCGCCACCAGCAGGGATGTCCAAGCCACCCTCCCCGGGGCTCTGTCCCCACAGGTGTCCCGTGAGCCAGGCCATTGGCCCCAGTCTTGCCGTGTGACATTAGGCAAGACCCCTTCCCCCTCTGGGCCTCAGTGTCCCCAGTGAGACATCAAAGAGTTGACCCAGCTGGGAAGGAGGATTCAAGTACTTGTTAACCAAGATACCCCCGGGGGTGCTGGTGGCTGCCCTCCCCAACACCCCTGCCAGACCCCGGGCCTGGAGCCCTGCTCCCGGACACACGCGGAGGCTCCCTACGAGAGCCTGACCCTCCCGCCCTCGGGGACTGCCCCAGTTCCTCTACAGCCCCACGCTGCTGGAGGTGCTCCCCAGACAGGCCGTCCTGACTGTGCTGGCCCGAAGCCTCAGGGATCCCAGCCCCGAGGTCCGCGCGTTGAGCCTACAGGGCCTCGGAAACGTCCTTTTCCACCCGGAGAAGGTAAGGGCCCGAGGGGCCTCAGAGCTGGCACGCACCCACACGTGCCCACCAGGCCTACCGGGTTGGAATCCTGGCTCCGTCCCTCACGGCAGTGTAGCTGGGGACACAGGACTTTACCTCTCTGAGCCTCGGTGTCCTTATCGGTGGACTGCAGTTGGGGATGGTTCCTTGGCAGGGTTGGGGAAGGGGTACAGTGGCTGCTCCCTGGGGACGTTGTATCGTCCACACCCGCAGAGGGACAGTGCTATTGCCGATGACAGGTGCCTAGGGGGAGCCCACAGGTGGCACCCAGGCCAGTCCACAGAGGGGAACGCCCCCGAGAATCTCAGAGACGGGTCCTCCCACCCACTGCTCACCTGTCTTCTCCATCCCCTTCTGACCCCCCCCCCACCACCCACCATCACTGGAACAGCCCACTCCCATAGTGAATGGTGGGGGGCATCATCAAAGAGGCAAAAATCGTTCTGGCCCTGGATGCCCAACGTTGCCCCCACGGTGGGTTCCCAGGGTCCCGTGCAGTGGTTAAGCGCCCAGGTGATACACCAGGAGGCCAGGGCCATCCTGTCCTCCAGCACTTGCTAGCTGGCGAGTTTCTTCAGCTCTCTGGGCCTGGGTCAGTGTCCACATCTGTGAAACGGGAGGGGTAAGAGTGTCTGCCCATGAGTGCCGGGCTGAGAACACACGTCTGGGCACAGGGTTCCCCTCCGGCCATTCGCCGTCACAATGCCTTTTTATCCCCGGCACTCTGTGTGGGACCCGCTGGTGGCCGCTGGTGGAGGGCAGAATTGTCAGGTTAGAGAAACATGCTGTCTCACCCGATCAGGAAGCACATGGCCTTCGCCTCCCCCAGCCACCCCAGGGCTGCGTGAACACACCAGACGGCAAGATGTCCAGACCCCATCTCCACTGCTGAACATACGTATCTTCAGGGCTTGTGGGAGAAAGTGTCTGCTGCTAGGGGACAACATCAGAGCCAGGTTCCAAACAGATTCCGCAACCTTCTGTCTGCCAGCCCACCTCGATCTCATTTTGTTCACCTTGCATGTCAACACAGTTAAGAGATCTCCAGTGGGGTGGCAAAGCCCTTTGCACTGCACATGACACATCATAGGTACTTGATAAGGGAGACCGGCACTTCTTCCCTGATCTCTCTATCCCCTCATCCATCCCCCCATCCACCCACCATCCCCCCATCCACCATCCACCCATCCACCATTGACCACCCATCCACCCACCATCTGTCCATCCATCCACCCACCCATCCACCATCGACCCACCTGTCCACCCACCATCCATCCATCCATCCATCCA